ATTAATTAAGTGATATATGGTCAACCCAGGGATCTTCTCTCTGAGTCTTTGCTTGGGTTCATAAAACTTGCTAAGACATCGTAGAGTAAGTTTCATTTTGCTCTAATGTGTTGAATTAATGCATCCTATAAACCTTTGCTCTACATAATGAGAAAGGTTAAAAATAGTGCCACACAGAAAATGTATCTTACTTTTATTGCCACCAGTTTTCATTCAACTGATAAATGAGAATTTGCTTCCAAAATATTTTTGGAAGAGAAGAGAATTTGGGTGAATGTGTAATGAACCAACTGTGGCATCCTTGCATTTGAGATAAACTTTTTATAACCCACTCTTACTATTTCACAAAGCCATCCTCAAGAAGTCAGTGCTTAAAAATAGCACAGTAGAAAAAAGCAAGTTCCTTGTATATATGCAAGAATGCTTATAATCTGAGGTGTCAAAGGAAATCTGCCTGTCCTTTTGATATACTTTCTCCAAAGAAAGAAAGGGGAAAGAGAGACATTCTTCAGCTATTTCTTCTAGTGTGAGATACCATATGGGAAAAGGCATTGGATTCCTGGTCCCTGCATCTCTCCCACAGGGCAAATTCAGTTGAAAGCAATGCAGATGCAGCTATTGGCTCTGATATAAAGAACGGTTTCTGGAATTGGATATGTCTAGTTTGATGAAAAGAAGGATTAGGGGTGATATGATAGCCTTAATTTAGTGATCATTCAAAGTCACAATGGCACTAAAAATGACTTACAACTGGTTCGCACACCTTGGCAGCATCACCATTTTCAACTTTCCCAGCTAGCTTGGACTCTTTTATTCAACCCTGATTGCCTCCAGGATCACTTACTCTAAACTGCAATTGTCCATTAAGTGAGATCTGAGAGGATGCTCTACTGAAAGTCCTGTCTCCAAGAAGTTCTATATAGACCCCACAGCAAGGCCTTCTCAATGGTAGCATTCCATCCTCACCCCTCCATTAAGAGTGAACCTTGTTCGCTTCACAAAGGAGTGTATTGTATGAGATCTAGATAGAGAAAAAAATATGCGGAAAGTGGGATGTGAATATAAATTCTGTAAATATTTTCTTTAAGTCACCACGTGTGATCCCAAGAAACAGATCTAGTTTCACTGTGGGGGAAGGCAATTCATTTTCCAGTTGCCACAGGTTTCTCTGAAACTAAATGTTTTATCCCTTCAGGGACTCTTTAGACATTCTTTAAATGCTGCTCAGAGTTGACAATACACTTGAAGAAGTGAAAAGAAAAAAAGAGTGTCAGTGTTTTTTTTTAAAAATGTGAGAATAGTTAATATATCACTCAATTTTGCTCAAATGAAAATGAGGGCACTGTTGTCTTCATTCCTCTATTTACAAAGAAGGTATAAGTTGATCATGATAAATTCAGGATTTTTCAATGGAAGCACACCAGGGAATGGATGGGAAAAAAATAGCAGCAAGGCCAATAGCCCTGAACATGCTTGTCATAGTCCCAACCCACCTGAGTTTGTAACTACAGACAATTTTTAGTTAAGGTCTGTTTATCCAGTTCAAGTTTCTCTACTCTGAATTTCCCAATGAACTTCTGTAATAAATAAGAAAAAAATGTTTGAAGAAACAATCTGATATGTAGCATTATACAATTACAGTAATTGCCTGGTTTGCTTTTAGTGCTCCAGCTCCAATTATGCAAGTGTGTTCTCCACCTGTTATACATTAAATTGTCTATAATTAAGGCTTTTATCAAATTAAAGAGAGGGCTCACAAATGTTTCACTGAATATATACTCTTATTCGGGTTCATAAAAGTGATGCAGTTGTAAGACATTTAGAAATATAACAAAGAATATGAAAGAAAAGCCACACAGGAATATTTTATTAAGGGTATACAAAAGTTTAATTATGGAATATTCTGGCCCCCAAATGAGCTGCTAGCCTTTAATTGGTTCCAGACGTCACCCATCCTTGGAATAAGCCATTCGTACTTCGGAATGTATCAGGATCAGATCACTCCTGGATATACTTGGAACAACCTATTCCAAGGTCAGAACATTTCTTGACATTTATTCACTCCTAATTGTGTTGTGTTTATGTGCATACAAATAGTCCTTGACTTACAATTGTTTGTTTAATAATGGTTTGCAGCATTTTGCAATCACACGATCATGACTTGCAAACTTCCCAGCCAGCTTCCAATAAGCAAAGTCAATTGGGGAAACAGGATTTGCTTAACAACAGTGTGATTCATTTAGCAACCTTGTGTTTTGCTAAGTGACCACAGTAAAAATGATTGTAAAATTGGTTCTGGTCATGTGATGGCTTGCTTAACAATCACATGGCTTAGCTATCAAAATTCCAGTCCTAATTGTGATCATAATTCAAGGACCAATACAGGTACACTAATGAGGGCCACGTAAGATGGACTTTGTAATACTTGTAATATAGGTTTTGTAGAAGCCTCATTTGGCTAACACTAAGCTCAAGAAGCCCTGTATTATGCTATGCTGGCTGGGGAAATTTGGGAGTTGAAATCCACACATTTTAAAGTTGCCAAGGGTGAAAAACACTGATCTATAGAGTGTGATCAGGGCCGGATTTAGATGAAAAGAAGCCCTAGACTATTCCACTTATGAGGCCCTTTCACCTATAGTGAAAATGTAATTTTAATTTTGCTAACAATTTGAATGTAGGCCCCTCTTGATCTTGAGGCCCTAGGCTGAAGCCTAGTTAGCCTATAGGAAAATCCGGCCCTGAGTGTGATAGGAACTGTTTTAAAAGGAAGGCAACATGCTTACAATGGATGTATCTGTCATTTTTCAGAACTAATATTTCTTAAATCATAAAGCAGGAACACATGAAAGGTAGTAATTAATAAAGGATAAGTAAATGAAAGAATGTATCTGTTACATAAGCATTGCCTAGGAATAGTTGTTCAGTTAGGGCAGTGAGACCTTATGGATGCAGTATGAAAGAGCTTTATGATCTCTTTGATTTTCTTCAATTATTAGTATCAGGAAGTTTGCATGTCTGTTTGTATGTGGTTAAATACTTATATATGTTAATCTTGCATTGCTGTTTGTACTCCCAAGACTTTTCTGTTCAGCCTAAAGGAGATGATCAAAAAGACAACTTTCCCCATCTCATTTATTTTAAATTCTTTTCTTTCATGAAAGTAGATGAATATATTAGTTGTATATAGTGCATTAAAGAGAATTGCTCTGTCATGGAACATATGGAAACTCAATAAAGATATATGGAATGTGTCCTATATATGAGATATATAGAAGCTCAATAAAACAAAATAAATTCTTCCAAATTTCAGTGACTGGGAGTGGGGGTGAAAGGAGGGGAGACCTATCTGTTCTATCTCCTTTGTGTCTTAGCACCATTCAATAAATGTTGCTAATGAAAATTTAATCTAAACCTAAAGAGCATATGTTTTATTATTACCAATCAGATGTCGCTACAGTCTGAAAAAGCCTTTGAATTGCTTGTTGCTTTCCAACAGCACTGAAGGGATCAGGGACATCTCATCTTTCATGCCTAGGTTGGGTTTAGTTGCATTAGGCCACAATGTTCCTTAAAAACATGAAGCCAGACTGGAATTGTATGCAGTCCACCATGTCATTATGATCAGCCTATTCTTGCTAGAACTGATAAAAAAGGGAAAAGGTTTTAATCATAAACTTACAGATCTGGCATCCACCAAGTTTGGAGGTAGGATGTTTGTTTTGCTCTTCAAAATGTGGTTTATTTTGTACTACAGCTTGTCAGTACTTTGTATTGTCTCAGGAACGGACCTGGCAACTTACTGACCACATTTTCCTGCCAGTTGTAGGAAGATGGGACAGATAGGAACAAGTTAGGAAACTGCAATTAGACTTCTTAGAGCTCACCAGGTTTCCTGAAGCTGGATTCCTGCACAGGGAAAAGGGGCGTATATAAGTGCACCAGCGTGCCTACCGTTCCTGTCCTAATATTCCTTTTTACTTACTCTTTTCATGTATTTAAATTATGTTTATACTTTAACCTGTTATCTTATACATTATATGCTTGACAAATAAATTTATGATTATGACAGTAGCTTTCAGTGCCAAGAAAATATGTATTTTGAGTTAAGGAGGCTTTAAGGAGGTGGTAGTAGTGTGAGACCATATGTACCTTGTGTCATACGCACCCAGGTGTTCTCTCAGGAGATTGTGCAAAAGCCATTTTAGCTATATGTTAAGTTCATTTCATTCTCAAAAAGAGAACACCTAATATATTTGAATGTATTATCTTAATATTAAATCAAATGTATCAAGAAGTTTCCCAAATGCCTTAACTGCATTGCAGCTGTATTTTCCACTAAGGACACTTAACTTTATGTAGAACTAAACTGGCTAAAGGATAAAGCCAAAAGATGACAATTAATTTTGAGGGATTCCTTTATTGTAATCCAGCATAATTCCCAAGTCAAGAAGTTAAGGAGACATATGAGGTCTTGAGAACATTATTTTCTTTTTTGTCAAATGCCATAATATGTTTGCTCAACTAAATGGAATAAGGACTTACTGAAAATGACCTCTTGTATAAGATCATTCTGGACCACTTCAACAGTAATCATTTTAAAATGTAAAATCATTTACATTTTAAAAGCAAAGAGAATCAAATGTTACAGTAAAAAGTATTGTCACTAAGGCAACACCGACTGATTTATTAAAATGATTTATATGGCTGCTCATCTCAACACAGTGATTCTAGGCAGTTTGTTTGTTTATTTATTTATTTATTTAGCGTATGACAAGTACATGGACTTAGAGAGCCAGGAGTTCTACAAAGATGTCTGCCTGCCAACTGTCGTTAACTGCCAATTCTTCAGTGTAGTCTGGCTGCCACTTGTTGCTAGTCATTTGGTTCACGCTGCCGTGCTATCCGGGGTGTACCACGAGGAGGCGAACTAGCATCACAACCCTTCTAGGCAGTTAGTTGTATATACAAGCATGCCAACTAGATACCACAAAGTAAAAAACAACTTACTGTACATATCTATAACCCCCAACTCCAATATAATTAATTTATAATTAAACCTACATACAAAAGACAACATTACTGAGTCTCTTCATAACCCATCTGACAACACACACATGGTAACACACACACAAACACAGACTAACCAACATAATACATCAGATTCAACTAACATCCTAAATTCTATCAGCAATAGAAAGCTCCAAAATTAAGGAGGGGATTGACTGTTATCTTTTTTAAAAATCTTGCTGGCAGGTGACACTTTGTGGAAGGTGGAGAAAGTGAACGCAGGGAAATCTGCCAGTCTCTTTCCTTAATTTGTCTTCCATTAAAATGGTCAGAAGAGCATCATTTACTGGCCTTGTTACTGAAGCAGAAGGGATATCAAAAATGAATTTATAATAGTGCATTTTTCTATCACCACAAACATTGAAGGATAGCTCTTAGATTGTTTATACAAAACCCTCCAACAAGAGGTCTGTGTCACTTTGGAACCTTGTTCCAGATCTTCATGATTATTGGTTTTAAGAGCTTTTCTTTTGGTTTCCCTCAGTGCTCAAGCTCTGTAGAACTTGTTGTAGTCTGTTTTTCATGAGTAGAAACTCTTGTTTAATTTTGATTCCTTCATCGAACATAGATCTCCAATTCTATTATTCTATTATTCTATTCTGATTCTTGGTTACTGGAATCAATGCTACAGCTTGCCTCCCAGAGCTTGCCTCCATCACTGGAGGTTTTCAAGAAGATTGGACATCCATTCGTCCTGGATGGTATAAGCAATAGCATTAGTGCTTAGGCTTATATACTACCCCATAGTGCTTTAAGCACTCTCTGGGCAATTTACAATGTCAGCATATTGCTTCTAACAATCTGGGTTCTCATTTTACCAACCTTGGATGAATGGAAGGCTGAGTCAACCTTGACCCCATTAGGATCGAACTCCAGGCTGTGGGCAGAGTTTGCCTGCAATACAGCATTCTAACTACTATGCCACCAGGGTTCCTCAAAGACTCCTGCCTTGGGGAGGGGAGTTGGACGTTAGAAGACCTCCAAAATCCTTTCCAGCCCTGTGACTCTAAGATTACTCATAGAACTTCAGCTCTTACAGCCTGCCTCTAAGTATTGTTTATAGTATACGTAATTCCCCTACTTCTCTCTAATATGGGTCTCAAATTCCATCTGGTTTTATTTTTATCAAATAATGATATATTTCATGTTAAGCATTTACAAGCCAAACATTTAGGAAAATCGATACTTTGAGCACCTAATTCAGTATCATCACTTTCCTGTTGCACCTGTTGTTTTTGTTTAGTCGTCTCTGACACTTCTCCTCCAATTTCTCTTTTTCTAGAAATTCACCTTCTCTCGCCTTCTGGCTTGGTTTGGTTTCAGTCAAACCCTTTGCTGTTTAAAAATAAGCATCACACCTTTATTTGCTTGTTTGCTTGTTTGTTTATAACATTTATAAAGCCGCCCATCTTACAATCAACTTTGCATTAGCTTGTGTTATCTGTTGATAGCACTTTTTCACAACCTCACTTTACTTGCATCACTTCCTGAACCAGTGAAAATGGTCAGAATCCAATTCAGATTGGAAGAGATCCACACACATGTTTATAGATACATTTAGCATCTTGGAAACTATAGACGGAATTGGATTAATTTTCAGATGAATAACAGATGCGTGTTAAATTGATTCATTTTTGAGATTAATATAGAAGCAGTTGTGGAGCATCCACCTAGAACTTTTTAATAGATGTCAAATGAATATAAATATATATGTTAGAAATGTTTACTTATTTTGAAAACTATTAGCACATATATCTCATTATCCTGCACCTGATGTGTTTATTCATGCCACATAAAATCTTATTTAATTGAAAGCTAATTCACCATGATTTTCCTTTGTAAAATTATCTAAACTGGTATAATCAAGTGCATAAGAAATAACACAAAGTTTTCAATTAAAAAAAAGTAATGTGAATTCTACAGAATTTCTAATATATATTTAATTAAAATACTAGGCACCTGCACTTTCATAGATGTATACTTTATTAAGTAATACTTTACAATGCTTTCCTTAATTCCTAAGATGGTTTATATAATATTTTTATGTAAGTTGCGTTTGTTTAAATATGTGCTCCATATGCCCTGGCAGCTGGATGTCTGTTTTACTTTAATCAAAGTCATTCACTTTTAATAATTGAGAATTAATAGATGAAGTCAAAATTGATTAAATATACAGTACTGTCATTGGAGGTATCTATTTAACAGCAGTAAATGAGAAAAGGAATATGAGTCATCCAAAAGCCTATTTGAGTTGTAAAAACAAAAACATCTCATGCAAGACATGGAAATTAATAGTACTATTCTTAATACTAATAGTACTATTGATATTGGTTATGGCTGCCTATTGGTCTTGTGCGACATATGGAGAGGGAAGTTGTTTAGGCAAGAGCAACTCAATATGGAGAAAAATGATAGAATTTAGCATGTCAGACTTCAATAGTATTTCTTTTTTAGGGCTTTTTTCATTTTAAGGATAACAGTACAGTTTCCAGCAGAAGGAAGAGTTTGCTGGGGAAAAAAACCTTTGGAAGCAATTGTTGTAGATCAGTAGCAGAACACTTAGTTTATATCTAGAAGAACCTGTGTTCAATCCATGATTACAAACCCTAAAACCCAATCTAAATCTATGACTCCATTTATCTATTGATTTCTATGTCACTCCAATCATATATGGCTTTGAAAGACCGATACTTCTGATTTCAGAAATGTGACTAAACATTATAAGTAATGTACAGTACTCAAAGTAACCAATTGCACAATGAATCAAGGCTCAGTCAAGTAAGTAATTAGCAAGCACTTCCCCTGCAGGAAGAATCACAACTCTAAATATGTTAGCTTCAGAGGTGGGTTTCATGAGGTTCTGACCAGTTCTGGAGAACCGGTAGCGGAAATTTTGAGTAGTTTGGAGAACCGGTAGTGGGAATTCTGACTGGCCCTGCCCCCATCTATTATCTGCCTCCCGAGTCCCAGCTGATCGGGAGGAAGTAGGGATTTTGCAGTAACCTTCCCTTGGATTGGGGATGGAATGGAGATTTTACAGTATCCTTCCCCTGCCACGCCCACCAAGCCACACCTACAGAACCGGTAGTAAAAAGTTTTGAAACCCACCACTGGTTAGCTTCCAAAAATGTTGATGGCTTTCTAAAATCTTAGCAGAAATTGCAACTAATCTGACCTCAGAGGTGAGAGAAAATGCTTTTCCAGAGAAAAGGAGGCAGTAACTGAAAAGACCTCCCCTATCACCCTGAGGTAGGAATCTGGAGGGAGCCTTCCCTTTCAGATTTTATCTGATAGAAACGAATGAGATGATGCAATCCTGAAGAAACTGCAGGTGCTAAGCCACATATGGCTTTAAAGATGACAACCAACACTTTGAATTACACTGGAAACCTGGCAGTAACTCAAGCAATTATCAGAGTAGGCCTATTACATAGGCAAATAGAATAACTTAGAGTGATAGAATAACTTAGATCACTTTATTGTTCATACAACAATATTAACAAAATTAAATGCTATCTTCAGTGTACATTATAACTATAACTATAAAACTATAACTATAAAAATAAAACACATCCTTCGCATTCTATACAATTGAATTGAAAACTCCTGATATTGCATTAATATTGCACTATACAGTGGAATTCAATATGATTACTGCTCTGGGATAGAAGCTGTTTTTCAGCTTATTTATCCTTGTTTTTATTATCCTGTACTGTCTGCCAGATGGTAATAGTTCAAAAAAAAAAAGGTGCCCAGGATGAAATGGATCTTTAAGAACGTTTTGAACTTTCTTAAGGCAGAAGGAGCTATAAAGCTCTTCCAAAGAGGGGAGTGGGCAACCAATGATCCTCTGGGCAATGAAGTTGACCCTCTGGAGTGCTGACCTATCTGCCACTGTGCAATTGGTAAACCATACACAGGTGCACTAAGTTAAAATACTCTCTATGGTGCAGCAGTAGAAGATCACCAGCGGTTTTTCATTCAGTTGTTGTTTCCTGAGAAGTCTCAGGTAGTATAATCTCTGCTGGGCCCTTTTGGCCAGTGCTGCAATGTGAGCGCTCCAGGTCAGGTCCTTTTTTATGATAATACCCAGAAACTTAAAACTGGCCACTTGCTCCACTCGGTCTCCATTGATAAGCAAGGACTAGATGTCATAACTTCTTGATAGTCATAACTATTTGAGCTACTGTGTTCTGGGACAAAAACTTTAGTTTCTGAACGGTCTTCAAAGGCAGCCCTATATAGAGTGAACTGCAATAGTCCAAACAAAAGGTGACTAAGTGATTAAAGACTGTGAGTAGAGCTTTCTGATCGAAAAAAATGACATAACTAGTATATAAGATATTCAGGACAAAAAGTAGTCTCAATGTGAAATAGTAACTACAAAATCTCATTCCAGGGAAGTAACTCATAAATACATTTTAACTTATGAAGCCAAAAGCTGCTTGGATATCCAGTAGAAGCATTAGACCTTCTCTGGTACCAAAGTAATCAAAGCCATACTTTTCAGTACTGGAACTGGCCATAAATTCTGTAATGTGGTAGATTTCATGAAAATATTTTCAAAACCAAAGTCTAACCATTGCATTGTGGTATGAAAGAATGGTTTCAAAATGGGGGTTGTGACTATTTGCCATAGGAGTTAAAATGGGCCAGGTGTTATAATCACTGGGCTTCAAAAAACCATAAACATGGTTTAAACAATAAACCATAACATCCACTTCAGCATATACATGAACACTTTTATTTCAAAAATATTATACCCTCTTGGTGGTTTTTACTTTCCTTTCACTGACCTTTCACAATATAATAGCCTTTTGTTCACCAAAAAAAGGCTCTTTGATCATTCTGAATATGGTGAAGAAGTATTTATGTGTTACTGTTACTCCCATAGTCTTAGCCCTCCAATGAATTTTTGCTTATATTCTGTGGGGTTTGCTCGGAGTGCCCTGTCATTCTCTTTACATCACAGCTACCAGCAACAAAGCTTGTTTGACTTTACTCTGTGGGAGAGACTGCTCAGAAGCCATTGCCGAGGCCATTTCCCCATTCAGAGGTGAACTGTAATTTCAACACAATCATCTATCAAGAATTCTCACAAGACTTAAAGGAAACCATTCAGATTCATCAATCTCTTGGGGTGAACTATTTTAATTGACCCAGGAAATCTAAAAACTTAAAAATCCAGACCTTTGCCACCTTTGTTGGCTTCTCTGCATGTTTTCTAGGGTTTCAGCATGTTTTTTTGTATCATGGTGATCAGATCTGGACACAGTATTCCAAGTGTGGCCTCACTAGTGCAATATAAACTGGTACTATAACTTCCTATAATTTTGATGTTATCCCTATGTTGATGCAACCTAGGACTACATTGATTTTTTTCTCTATATTAATGTATTCAAAATAATTCGCAGCTACAGCACACTGTTCACTCATACTTAAATGGTGGCACACCTACAGTAGATCCCTCTCACAGGCACTACTGTTAAGCCAGGTACTGCCTTATCCTGTACCTGGGCATTTATTTTTTCCTGCCTAAGTGCAGGACCTTACTTTTTCTCACCACTGAACTGCATCTTGTTGGATATGGCCCAATGCTCAAGTCTGTCAAGAATCCTTCTGAATCTTGAGTCTATCTTCCAACTGATAGTAGATTCAGAACACACTGTAGAAGGTATGCTATACTAAATACTTCACACAAAGGAATTTATTTTGAATACATTAATATTGAAGTTGCAGTATGGTCCAAGAGATGGTCGTCATTCTCTTATATGGCTTTCTTTTAAAAACATAAGAATATTTTTTAGAACTTAAGAATATTAGTGCCTGTAGACTACATTAGCAAAATGGAATCTCTGTGAAGAGAGGTAAACTGTTTAATTAAGATGCAGCTTCTTTTTGTTCCTCTAATATGTTTGTTCCCAATTGCTGAACGTGGTGAACTGTCTGAAAGTTTTTGCTGTTGTTCATCCTGTTTTTGTAAACATTTGGGATAGTTAGATGGCGTACAAATACAGAAGTAACAATACAGTAATAGTAGCAGTGATGGTAACAACAACAATAGGAGCCATTGTCTGGAACATACAACTGTGAATAGCTGCCACCTTGTGGGTTTTTATCAAAATGCTTCTTGAGTTCTTATATTTTTATTGGCAGAGGCCCTTGTGGCTGAGAATCTCATATAAGACAGAGAGCTGGGATGAGTAGAGTGAAACAATACAGAGCCAGAACAGTGATATAAAAAGCATTTGTCCCAGAAGCTGTAGCAGATGAGAATCAAGTTTGCCAGAAATGTATCAGGCTTTTTATTTTATTTCATTTCTATTGAAAGCATCTTGATCGTGGAGATCCTGTTTGCTGGGGCTGTGTTTTGAAGCAGATCTGGAAAAGAGGAGTTGGAGAAGAAAGACAACTTCCTGATCTGAGAACTGATAAAAGGAGGAGGTGAAGATAACCAATTGACTTGCCTGATCTTTCTTTTATTTCAGTTCAGACCCTTTGGGCTATTGGGCCGTGTCTCAGCTTGGAGTCTGGCCAGCATTCCGTGTTGAGCAGGAAATCAACAACCCTTAAACATTTCAAATCTGTGTGACAGGCAGAAGTCCAATACATGATGCATTCCTTGTCATGGGGATGGAAAATGAAAAAGGATTTGTCTCTTGAAAGTCTGCCTGTTGTACAGCTGATATATGAGGAGGGGGGACAAGTAAGAGAAAAGAGCTCAACCCAAACCAGATTGGCCAACTTCTGTATTTTTCATAATGCCTCCCTGTTTTCTAAGCTTAATTCACTGCATACAGCATATAAAACGCACAGGAAGTATTTAACAATTAAACATTGATATACTTTAAATTTTGAATGACCTTTTTCTTTTCCAGATGAGCAAAATGATGAACAAATATTTTACTGTACTTGGAGGAGAACATTTTAGAAGAATCCTTAAGGGGAAGATGGACAGATTGAATTTGAGGGACAACAATTGTTGAAGCCTCCCACTATACTGTGTATGTGTTTAATTAACAAATGGATTTAGACATCTGGTCATATTCTGAGCTCCTTCAACAATCCAGACAATAAGAGACCATATATTCCCCATGAGTACTGTATACTTACGTCTTCCAAAGGTATTATAAAATTTAAATGCAATATTCCCATTGCCAAGAGTGAAGGATTTTTCTTTTCTTTTCTTGTTTCTTACTTGACAGTGAAAAATTGTTTTGACTAATAACTTCTCTATTTGGGATTATATGCCTTTAATTGTACATGAATCCCTTTTAAGCATCTTTTCGTGCATTGTTTATTTGTTGTAACATGACAATGCCTGTGATGGAATGTGTGTGCAATTTTGCTCTGGCATTAACATGCATTCCAGAACAGATATGATTGTCGTGTTGTATATATTTTTAACAGAAATGTCATTCATCTTTAAAGATTGCTTTCAAAATACCCAGGTAATATGCCAACAAAAGAATTGTAAATTTTAAGGAATTTTGAAAGATGCAGTGAGATAACCTGATCAAAGAGGGCCAAGAATTTAAACCATGATGCACTAACTTGAACTTTGCATTCTCTCATAGGACTGAATAGAAAGCATTTTATGGATGGAAACAGGTGAGATGTTTTCCTAAGATGAATGATAAAACAGTCATGAAAGGTGAAGACAGAAATACTTTCCCTATAGGAGTGAATGGCAAGTGGGAACTGAGTTATTTTTCTCCATATAAATTAATGCCAAATATTCACTAAGTGTGAATGCAAATATATTTTCTTCGTGGGAATGATGCCAAAATTTTACTATGAGTGACGACCCATTTAATTTTCCTCATTGGAAATGAATGGTAGTCAATTTTAACAATTAAGACAGACATTATGTAAAGAAGAACTCAAAGCACATATCTCAATCAACTTTTAACTCAATTGCCAATATTATCTTTCAGTATACACTGATTTGTGTGTGAGAGAGAGTATGTTCAATTCAGTGGTAACTCTTGATTAACAAGTCCCTGCAGTTTTCTTGGCAAAATTTCAGAAGTGTTTTGCCATTGTCTTCTTCTTAAGGCTTAAAATAAGTGATTGGGTGAAGGTCACCGAGCTGACTTCATGCCTAGGGCAGGACCTAGAATTTACAGTCTTCCAGTTTATAGCCAAGTGCCTTAACCACCTGCCAATCTTCCCAGGAAGACTAGACAGATGAGTTAATTCTACTTCATTATAAGCCTACACTAACAGAATCTTGAAAGCCTAAAAGTATACATGTCCCACCCATTATGCCAGTTGCTGGTTCCACCCACTTCCTTATCCGATCATTCCATAGACAGCATCTCCTTTCTTCCCGTCTTTCAAGGTCATTTCCACATACCATGATATCACTATACCAAACTGGTTCTCAATATATATCTGTATTTCTTTATTTTTACTTCATTTAAAAAGTGTCCTGTGAATGTTCATGCATTACTTTATTAACCTGCATTGTCATATTATTAAAGAAATCTGGGGTTTATTGTTAATGCAAACCAGCTGTGAAGATTGAGCGTGGAGCTTTTTTTTAATGATGTCAAAGGAAGGAATGACAAAAGCTAATGTTAAGCAGGCATAATCCTTTCCTTCTGGATTTTACCCTGGAGAAGTAAGTTATGGTAGGACTAAATGCAGCAAAGCTGCTTCCAAAACAGTTCTTCGATCTTAGATGTTCCATCTTTCATTATTCTTATTGGAAAGAACACATTGGAGATAGAAACTCTATTCCATCCCTTGTAATCTGAGTTATTCAACAAGAAGCAAGTATGTTCCTAACTGCACATTCCCAACAGGTTTTACTTTATAGTCAGAGCAGAGCATTTTTATACATTTTACACAGGAAAGAGGCTTTTAAATAATGCCTCTATATGAGGGGTGTCAAACTCAAGGTCCACGGGCCGCATCTGGTCCATGAGGTATAAAATCTGACCCATAGGTCCACCTTTGAAGCAACAAAGGACCGGTCCACTGTGACTTTACCTGAAAAAATGGAGCTCAGGAGCCTGCAACAGCTCGCACGCGGCCTTCTCGAGCTCCATTTTCACTCGCAGAGGATTGCAGGAGGTTGTTGCAACCTCCTGAGCTCCATTTTTCCTGGCAGAGCTCTCAGGCCACCACAGGCACCCCTGACACAAGTGATATTGAATTGGCCATGCCAGTGGTGGGATTCAATTTTTTTTACTACCAGTTCTGTGGGCGTGGCTTGGTGAGCATGGCATGGCTTGGTAGGCATGGCAGGGGAAGGATACTATAAAATCTTCATTCCTTCCCCATTCCAGGGGAAGGTTACTGCAAAATCCCCATTTCCTCCTGATCAGCTGGAACTCAGGAGACAGAGAATAGATGGGGGGGGCAGTCAGAGTTGGTATTTACCAGTTCTCCAAACTACTCAAAATTTCCTCTACCGGTTTTCCGGAACTGGTCAGAACCAGCTGAATACCACCTCTGGGCCATGCCCACCCTGGCCATGCCCACCCAGCCCCCAAGGTCAAACACAACCCTGAGGCAGTCCTCAATGAAATTGAGTTTGACACCTCCGCTCTATTGGCTCCACTCCACTCCACTCCACATCTGTATAATCAGACCTTTTTAGGACCTGAGTCCCAGGATTTCTGGCTGTGTTGTAATTTATTGGAAATTGGTCATTTGCCAACTGTGGTGAGCCTTCTTGTGCATGTGAACTCTTCCACATGAGTGCGAATCTTTCACAATTAAAGTGTGCATAGTGGTGGTTGCATATAGAGCTAGGCTCTCTGCTCCAGACAATCTCATTGACTTAATTCTCCATTTATATCACAAAAAGAAAAGGGGAAAGATTGCTTGCTATTCCACATATTTGACTTGAGCATGCAAAGATAACTTCCAAAGAGAGGTAATCCCTGAAGACAATTTAGAAGAAGGGCAAGATAGCAATAAAATATCTGTCACTGCAAATTCAAATATAAGAATTCATGCAAAAGTGCTACAAAAACAGAAATTAGGGCTTAAATGTCTGAGAAAGAAAAATCATTGAACATAGAACTTTCCAGCAAGTTTTTTTTTTCTGGCATACAGCCATGGTGGGCTTTCCTTCTAATTTTGGGGCATATTTTAGAAACTTTTAGGAATTTCCTAGGGATGCAGTTAAAAATTTCCTGTGAAGCCAAAGAACCAATGAACTTTGGCAAACACAGAACAGTAGTAGCATTTCTGAGACTTGCTAGGTGGCTCAGTGGCTAAGACACTGAGCTTGTCGATCAGAAGAGTCGGCAGTTCGAATCCCTAGTATAGGTCTCCTGCCTGAGCAGGGGGTTGGACTAGATGGCCTCTAAGGTCCTTTCCAACTCTGTTACTGTTACTTTTTCCTCACACAATAATTGTGTCTAGCCATTGTAGTTCCTTAACTAGTTTTCAACAGGAAAAACAAATTATTTCATTATTACTTATATATATACCTGACATTCTGTGTACAACACTCCAGTGCTAAGAATGCTACACAAAACAACATGTAAACCATGATGTGTTTGTTTGTTTGTTTTGAAAAAAACTAAAAAACTAAAAGGTAACATCATCTGATGATATTACCTAGTTTGGCTAACTAGGATAGCTCTGCAGACTAAGCACTGTAATTTAACACCAGCTGTCTGCAATTAAAGTAAGTTCGAATCTTGCCAGGCTCAAGGTTGACTCAGCCTTCCATCCTTTCTAAGGTAGGTAAATTGAGGACCCAGTTTGTGGGGGCAATAAACTGACTTTGTATAAAATATACAAAAGTATGAAGGCTATTGCTTAACGCACTGTAAGCCGCCCTGAGTCTCCGAAGAAGGGCGGCATATAAATCAAATTTTAAAAAAAGAAAAGAAAAAAGAAAAAAAAATGAAAAGCCTGCAAGAAAACAACCAAGCTCAGAGAGTACCAAGGATCCCTCATTTCAATCCTTAGCTACAAATATTCTCCTTTATTGGTACTAAATAGCCCAGAACTGGGAAACCTATAAAAGCAAACATCCAGCTCCCAAAGAGAGAGAAAAAGAGAGAAAGAAATACATACATACCACTCCCTCAGTTCAGAGACTAATCTTGGGTAGTTCCAAGTAAAAAGTTTTTTTTCTTGAAGGCAAAAGTCCAAGTTATTTTAAGTGATAGCCTGATCTGACATTTTGAAGCAGTGTTTTAATGCAGATGTCTCTCTTCTATCACATTTACTGGGGACATTCTCAACTTTCTATAAATGAGATTTCTCGACCATCTGTCCAGATTTGCAATTAGATATGGAGCAAGAGCTGCTGAAACAGGGAAGATATTGTGCACCTTTGTCTTCATCAGCTGCAAAATTAACCTAGAAGATAACTAAACAAGCCAGAGACAAATGTATCTTCAAAGCAGCAATTTCCCTGCCTGCCACACGTGTTCATACTGTTTTTCTTTCTTCTAAACAGCCCTCCCCCTTTCTCATTCTGCCATGTTCAGTTTTCAAAGCTTTAAAAGCATTTGTGATGTCCCTGAAAAAGAGAAAACTATAGGAATTGCAAGAAATTCTGGCATGAATTGCCAGAAATGCAAAACAATTCTTGCCAATGGTACTTTCCCCCACCCCAAGTCCATAATTTCTTGTAGTATTTTGAAATTAGTAAATATTTTCCTTAATCTCAGTGAATGCATGAAAGAAGATAGAGATCCTTGCTCCTAATCTCAGTGAAATAACTTTCAGGTTTGACTCCAGCCAACATATAAATAGCACATGCCTAACCAATCTCTATAGCTGCAAATCACGCAAAAGGCATGGTCCTCAGCTAATATTTACAAAACTCACAGAAATAGTATACTATAAACATTTTGAATTATATAGGTCTTCCTGTAAGCTAAATGATTGCATTGCAAGGGTGTTCTGATGTATTTATGTGCAAATGCATTTTAGTCCTTTGCATTTTGCTTAACATTATCCAGAAATCTTGGCTCAAAATTCAATTTTGTTTGCATTGTTTTTTTGTGGATAAAATGTGGCCCAGCTGAGAGAAAGTGAAGAAACTGCCAGGAGCAAAGATGTTGATTGCTTTTGTCTGTGTAACTGTGTGCATAATGAAATTAAGAGATGCCTACATACCTTTGCTGACTAGATTGAGGGGAATTTTCCCCTAGGATAGGACAGTCATGCTTTCCATGTCTAGTTAAAGGTCACTTTTTAAAAGATGAAGCCCATAGCAATGAGTCTTTCAATAGGGCAGGGCAGAGTTTTAATTCATATAGTGAAGGATTGCAAATTCTTTGCAAAATACAAAAATCCGTGGCAAATCTGTTTTTTGTTAATGAGATTTGCAAACAATCAAATAATTACAAATGTCTATACATTCATCAGTCTGGCATAGGAAACTCACCACCATAAAGGTCACAAGTGTTGCACAATGACTAGTTCAGTAGTCAAAGGGTGGCAACGTTAAGGCTTTTCATACATACTGTAGAGGCCTCTAGTATGTCCGAAGGGAAGAAAGCGAAGTATCAGGGCCTGCCATTAACAAAACAGATTTGGTTTTCATCATATTACTTTGGTCAGGCCAGAGGTGGTATTCAGCTGCTTCTGACCGGTTCTAGAGAACCAGTAGCAGAAATTTTGAGTAG